AATATGTAATTATATATGTGTTTTCCGATGGTCTTAGGCGACCCCTGTGAAAGGGTCGTTCCACCTCCAAAGGGGTCTCGACCCACAGGTTGAGAACTGCTGCTCTAGACTGTTTTGTTCATTTGAAAGGCAGCCAACTGTTCCATCTACTTCCTATAGGCCAACCCATTCAGGAGTATATGCAAAACGCTCTCAGGTCCAAAAGGGAGTGCTCTGTCCACACAGGCACCGACCAACACAGTTTCCTTTTGAAGACCCTCCACTTGAGGGCCACTGTGTTTGAGCAGGTTCTGGGCTTACGTATCTAGAACCCATAACATCTGTCTCTTTCCCAGCCTTGGAGTCAGCAAAGGGTCTGGAACACGTTGTTGGGCCATCTTTGTATCCAGATATAAAGGTCAAAGCATCCGTTCCCTCCCTGTTAGAACAATCTAGTTCATTTTCTTATGGGCTGACATTATCTACATTCAAATGCTTTTCTAGAGTTTTTCTCCAAGGAAGTCCATACAGCTTGGTGAATTTTCCTCTATTTCTGAATTATATTTCTCTACTAGTGTATTAGTTTGCTAAAGCTGCCATAACAAAATACCACAGAATGGGTGTCTCAAACAATGGAAATTTATTTTCTCACAGTTCTGGGAACTAGAAGTCCAAGATCAAGGTATTGGTAGGATTGTTTTCTCCTGAGGCCTCCCTCCTTGGTTTGCAGATGGCTACCTTCTCACAGTGTTCTCACATTACTTTTCCTCTGTGAGCATAACCCTAGTGTTCTCTCCAAGTATGTCCTAATCTCTTGTGATATGGACACCAGCCAGATTGGATTAGGGCCCACCCCAATGGTCGTGGTTTAACTTAATTAGCTCTTTCATGACCCTGTCACCAAATACAGTCACATTCTAAAGTACTGGGAGTTAAGATTGCAACATAGGAATTTTGAAGGAGTACAACTTGTCCATAACACTCAGTAAATAGTTACTGAATTCCCGTGATGTTGCTGTGTTTTTTCTAAGCTATAAGAAAACAGCGATGCAGAAGATAGAAAAGGTGCTTTCTTTAGTGGCATTGATGTGTATTTGTGTTTACAGCAATGGGAGATGGGCAATAAATAAGAATATATATATTATTTATATATAGCATATATATTTTTATCAGATAATGGTGATTAAGAAGAATTAAAATAGGATAAAGTGATAATCAATGTGAGTTACTGATGGTTGGGGCAACAGTGCTGTATTAGGTAAGGTGGCCAGGAAAGATCTTTTTGGGAAGGTGATATTTGAGTTAAAATCTGAATAAGAAGGAGTCAGTCATGTGAAGGTGGGGAAAAGAGGATTTCGTTATTGCCTGCTGAGTCTGTAAGAGAAATAAACCAAAACACAACCATTGCTTTTTAAATGAAATAACCCTGTCATCTAGCATACGGTTTTTACCTTGCCATTGGTTTTGACTTAAAACTGATATATAAAGGATGGTTAGCCCTGGGTGAGTGGCTCAGTTGGTTGGAGCATCATCCCATACACCAAAGGGTTGTGGGTTCGATTCCCAGTCAGGGCATATACCTAGGTTGCGGGTTTGATCCCCAGTTGGGGTGCATGTGGGAGGCAGCCAGTTGATGTTTCTCTCTCATCTCTCTCTCTTCCTCTCTCCTTTCTCTCCCCCTCCTTCGCTCTCTCTTTTACTCTCTCATAATTAATACATTAAAATATTATTATAGAAGTTGATATAAGGTATTTTTAATATAACATGGTGTTCATGAAATATTGATGGGTTAAGAGAATAAATTATAAAACAGTATGTATGATAATATTTATTTAAATGCGTGATTTAAATTCTCATTTTAGCCCTGGCTGGTATGACTCAGTTGGTTGAGCATTGTCCCATGCACAAAAAAGTTGCCAGTTAGATTCCTGGTCAAAGCACATGCCAGGGTTGCAGGCGATTGATGTTCCACTCTAACATCAATGTTTCTCTCTCTCTCTCTCTCTCTCTCTCTCTCTCTCTCTCTCTCTCTCTCCTTCCCTCTCTTTCTGAAACTCAATAAAAATATTTAAAAATTCTCATTTTAATAATCTTTGTATATCACAACACCATGCATTTATTTCGCAATTAAAACAGCTAAAACTATTGTAATAATAAATAAAACTTTCCCAGAAAGGGCAATAGCTAACCTCAGGAAAGGAATTGCTAAGGTACAATTTCATGTATTACAGTGAGAAATAAATTTAGGTAGTAACTAAGTTGCATGTTTTGTCTCTCTGAGGCACAGTGTTATGTAGTTTATATGGGTAATTTCATCCCATTCTTATAGCAAACCCTCCTACCTCATTTTGTGGGTTTCATTATTATCGTCATTTTACACATGTGGAGATATATAAATGAATTGTGTAACCCTTTCAAAGTTAGATCCAGTGATCAAGCAATAGAACCAAATTTTAAACTCAGGTCTGTCTGATGCCAGAATTCAAGCTTCTAGCCAGTGTTTTAATGCTTCTTAGGAGAAACCTGTGCTGTCATATAGAAAGGTGCTCACAGCCCGACTTATCTGTACGTGAATTTGCCCACTTCTTGGGGAAATGGGAGCATGAAGCAGGAAGGGAAGCTGGTACTGGACCCACTAGATCCAATAGACTCATATGTGGATCCCAGAGGCCCCCGAATTAGTATGTGTGGAAATTGGGCAAAACCCACTGGACCTTGTAGTAAACTAGGAGTGAGATGGAAATCATTTTTTAAAATATATTTTATTGATTTTTTTACAGAGAGGAAGGGCGAGGGATAGTTAGAAACATCGATGAGAGAGAAATATTGATCAGCTGCCTCCTGCACACTCCCCACTGGGGATGTGCCCGCAACCAAGGTACATGCCCTTGACCAGAATCGAACCTGGGACCTTTCAGTCTGCAGGCTGACGCTCTTTCCACTGAGCCAAACTGGGTAGGGCTGGAAATCATTTCTGTATGAAGCCAGGATATAGGAAGGGCTACACGTTTAATGAAAGGACAAATCAACAAAATAATTCCACAGGCAGTTAACAAGAAGTATTATTTTTCCTGGTTTGGCTTTGGGTGGAGGATTTTAAAAAGTTTCCTCTAAATATTCATGGTGTTGTATTATCAGCCCTTCAGGGTTTGGCATAGACATTGTATGATCAAGAAGATACACACTGAGAATTATAAAACCAAATGACATCAGGTATATTGCATCCTAATTGCTTGCTAGAGGCAAAAATAGATATTTCCAGGAAAACGCATCTTATTCCAGGATTGAAAATATTCCCAAAGATGAACATAATATCAAAATTTTATGATGCACAAAAAAATAAGTCACCCTGAGTGAAAACCAGCAGAACCTACAAAAAAGAATAACCAGATGCAAAAAGTCATCAGGAGTTGGCATTAACAGGTAAAATTCTGAATAGATGCATAATATCCTTAAATAAATAACTTCAAAAAACACAAGGAGCAAGGTGCTTTCAAAAATGACCGCTCCTATGTGTAAAAGACCCAGGTAGAGTTCTTAGCAATGGAAATTTATATAATTTAAATTAAAGAATCAATTGAAAGGTTAAATGGCTTATTGAAGCTGAGGTGTGAATTAGTAAACTGGAGAGCAGGTCTAAAGAAATTACCCACAATGTAGCACAGAGAAGCAAAAGGAGGGAAAATGGGAATGAATAGACTAGAATATGATAGAGTGAAAGTTGAACAAGGAGTAGGTCTACACTTCAGGCCATCTCTTCTTCTATAAAATTATGGGCTGAAGTTCTGGCCCATCTGAGGATTACTTTTCACCACTACCATCAGAAACACACTGTATTAAACTGTAATGAGCGTTCTAGAACACAGTGCAAATTTATCCCATGAAGCCTTGGGTATGAATTGAGGGGTCAAGGTGTGTGAAATAGGAGTGGGTACTCTGAGACTGAGACGTGCTCTTGAAATTAAATTGTCCCTTCTTCCAGCTATGCTTGAGTCTGGTCTTGGTTATATATTTCCCACGTATCTCAGAAAACTCTGTGCATGTTCAGCTTTCCAGTGCTGCTGATCAGATGACATCCAGTTCTGAATGTGGGATGAGGCATTCGGTCAAAAGCCAGGAGCAGTTTTTTAAAGGACAACAAGTTGTTGGCAGGTGGAAAAATTATGGCTTTGCACCAAAACTCTTTGCATCAGCCTTGAGGAATGCCAAGGGCTTCACAGAGCATCCCTATTGGCCTCAGGTACTTCAAGAACAACTGAGCCTGCTTGGTCTCTGGCCCAGGTGGCAGGGCCGCTTTCATCCCAACCTTGTTTCTGCTACACAACTCTCTTGTGCCCATCCAGGGCCAGCCTTACAGATGATATAGTAACAGACCAGAGCAGCACACCCAACTGCAGTATATGTTAATTCCAAAGTCCATAGAAGCCCACGAATTACTGCACTTCTTATTGCATAGTAGATGGTAATAAGACTTATCTCTCATATTAGAGGGAATATTCTGACATGTCCCACACATCTGGACTACTTAAAAGCTCACCAATGTGGCAGGTCCCTGAACTTTTGCAGATTTTACATTGTTCTGGTCTGCATATGTCATATACTGAGGCATCTAGAGTGCTTTATAATTTCTATTCACAAAGAACAATCAGCATAATACCATGAGTGCAATGGGCCAGTATGCTATCAAGATGACTAAGGGCTTTCTGAACTATATTGATAGAGAACAGGCTAAATATAGCATTGAGAAGAAATAGTTAAAGAGTATTTCTGAACTTGTCACTTGAAGGCAAACTATATTTGATTGTCTTTACTGAGCATTTCTAAGCACTCTTCTGGAGGAATTTATCTTCAGGCTCCCAGTAGCCACCTTTCATGTCTGTGGATAGGCCCTCTAGCTAGTCCCACACATTTTCTCTCCATCTCAGTCTACACATTCATACTCATACCTACCCACAAACACACAAACATCTGTCTCTGCCTGACAGCTGTGGTTTCCTCCCTCCAGCTTGCTTCGACAGAGCTCATCTGGATGAGAACTGGGGAGGAGGGAGATGGGCTGGAGGAAGCTGAAGTTCTTGCTCAGATCTCTGACCTGTACACGGCACTGTGTCTCCAGCGCTGCAGAAGTAAAAGCTGCTGTCTTCGGGGTTCACACTGTTCACAGTCAGAATGGAGAACGTTAGGTTTGGGCGGTGGATGGGAAACTTGTCCTTGGTAAATCCACTTTCATAAGTGGCCTCAGAGCCCTGATTTGCCGTTGCAATCAGTGTCAAGCTCTGTCCAGGAAGCTGTCGGTACCAGAACATTAGGGCAACTTGGCTATCAACCTGACACTGGATTGTCACCGAGGTTCCACGTTGACAGATGTCCCTGAGTGGCTTTTGAGAGAGGAGAGCACCAAACACAGAGCCTGGTTGCAGGAAGATAGAGAAAGCCATGAGCACTGACCAGCTTGTCCCCAGGAAGGAAGCTCTTTTTACTATTTGCTCCAATGTCACCTTGGCTCCCAAAGAACCCTGTGGCACTGCCTCCATTTTGTTCTGCCAACTGTTATTCTGTCATATCCTATAATCCAACATCTTCCCTCTCCTCCTCCCCCACCCCATTCTCTGACTGGTGGCCCCAGACCCTCTACTCCTCTATTCAACATTAATATTAATCCCAGACTTCCCCACCCAATAAGGCTCGTACCTTGTCCTAGGAGAAGTAGTAGGAAAGTCAGCATCTTTAGGTGATATCCTCTCCTCTTCCATGAGAAAAGACACTGAGAAGTCAAACCCAAGGTCATCTTTCCTCACCACTGTGTAGTTCCTTTCCTGTAAATAGGGAGTTGACTTTCTGCAAAATGTGGAGAAAATTAGTCTGCCCCTAGTGGAACTGTGTAACTCTTCACTCACAAGGTATCCCAGTATGTAACTGCCATCACCCACTATATGTCCACCACCTCTCCATCCATCATTATTCAGTGCCATGTATGTGCTACCCTTTGGGTATAAGCAAAAATGGGATGCAGCACTGACTTCAAATAACTAAAGTAAAACTTGAGAATATGAGGGAATCTTATAACTCAGAATTTCAACTGTCTGTTGAGTCTTCATTGTCCCAAACCATCCGCATTATTCCTCCCTCAACCCATACTCTAGTAAACTGGCCTCTACTCCTGTTTTCCTCCCTCCAAATAAAATACTTTATTTTTCATAAAAGTTGAGCTAGTATTTTTCTGCACTTACTCCATGCTTTACATGTATGATTTCAGCCTATAAATTAGGCTACTTAGGCAATATCATCCCATTTTTACAGGTGAGGAAAACATAAAGATCTTAAATAACCTACCCAAGTTCACATAATCCAAGAGTAAGTGACACAGGCAACACTCAAGTCCATGTCTATGTGACCTCAAAACCCAATGTGAATATCAATACTGTCAAGGATGGTCTCACTTTGCAGTTGTCTGAACTTAATAAAATCTGGTGAGTGAATGAGAATGACAGGCCAAACACTGTAAAGGAAACAAAGACCTTTAGAAACAAATTCTTGTAAAACTAACCTACCTTATATCTTTGATTCAGAAAGTCCATCTAATTATATAGCAGTTCTCAAACTGTGGGTCGCGACCCCTTTGGGGGTCGAACGATTCTTTCACAGGGGTCGCCTAAATAATTCCTGCATATCAGATATTTACATATGATTCAAACAGTAGCAATATTACAATTATGAAGTAGCAACGAAAATAATTTTATGGTTGGGTGTCACCGCAACATGAGGAACTGTATTAAAGGGTCGCAGCATTAGGAAGGTTGAGAACGACTGAATAAGATGCACTCTTAAAAACATAATGGCTATTTTTGGGTGGTGTTAATATTACATTAGAGATGAATATAGATTACAGGATTTACTCATATTTTGGAAATATAAAACTGGAAAAACAATTTACTTTATGATCAAGGAAATGCAGCAGGTTAGAGATAATAATATTTCAGTAAGCCTTTCTGCTATGGCGTGTGTGTGTGTGTGTGTGTGTGTGTGTGTGTGTGTGTGTGTGTGTTTGCAGCCTGTACATCTATGGGCGGTGCCAGAGGCAATGAGTGATGTAAGATAAACCCTGCTAAGTAGTATGTTGATGAAAGGTATAGAATACTCCGTTTTTTTCACGACATCTAGGGATACATTTTTAAAATTTAGACAAATATGTCAAAATTTCTACCAAACTAACCCAAGATCTTTTTCTAGTTCATCCTAAATCCTAAATATTACCAAGTGACTCTCAGTCTTTAAAGAATTCCAAATCTTTTCCTCTCAGTGGCATTCTTTCTTTTATAAAACAATAGCAAAGACATTCTTTTCTCTTTTCATTATCTTCAAACAGCACTTTTCTCTTTAGACTTTACTTTCAGATGTGTCATGGTTACCGTTATCATATAATTTTAATGTATTTATTTATTTAATTAATACATGCACATGGCTAAAATTTCAAAAAACACAAAACTGAGCAAAAACTAAGGTACCTTCCCCAGAAGCAACTGGTCAATAAGCTTGTTGTATCTGTTACTAGACATATTCTTGACTTATTCAAGTTTACAAGTATCTGATTGGTCTTCCTATACCTTGCTGCTTATTTTATTAACAATGTATTCTTAGCAATACATTTAAAAGTTTAGTTTATATCAGAACATACATATTTGCCTCATTATTATTTCCCATTTTATTATGAGAATTTTAAAACCTCTATAGAAGTTGAAAGTTTTATATTGAGCATTCATGTGCCCACCACTTAGATTCTACCACCTTGATAAAGCTACTTTTTGCTTTATCATAAAACTATCCATCTACCCATGTACATTTTGGATACATTTAAAAGTTAATTAAAGGCATACTTCACTTTTAAACACTTAAGCATGCATATAATTAACTAGTGTTCAATATTTATTTATGATTCTTTTTAAGGTAAATTTGCATACAGTAAAAGACACAACTCTTAAGTACCATTAAATAAGTTTTGAGGAATGCACACACCTGTGAAACCTACCAAGCTTTCTAATACTCTTTTTTGAAGTTACATTCTTTTGCTATGTTTATTTTTTCACTGAATTTCTTGGGGTGACATTAGTTTGCAAAACCGTACAGGTTTTAAGTGTATAACTCAACAAAACAACATCTGCACACTGCATCATGTATCCATCGCTCCAAGCAAAGTATTTCTCTTGTATCCCCAAAGGACTAAATTACTATTTACAGACAGGATAGATGTCTCATTCTTTAAAATGCACAGATATGCCTGGCTGGCGTGGCTCAGTGGTTGAGTGTCGACCTATAAACCAGAAGGTCATGGTTTGGCTCAATTCCCTTTGAGGGTTGTGCAGGAGGTAGCAGATGGATGACTCTCTCATCATTGATGTTTTTACCTCTCCCTTCCTCTCTGAAATCAATTAAATATATTTTTAAAATACACAGATACTTTTCCAGATGATCATGTGTACAGAAGTAACCTAATTTTTATAACCTCTGCATCATAATTTATTCCTTACCTGTTTCTAGTAAAACATTAGTGACCACTTAGAGAACATGGAGAAAGATTGCTTTTTATTAGAGTTGTTCTAATTTTAGATTGAATGAATAGAATTCAAATTCCACACGCTTTCTCTTAAATCAATATAGGGAGAATAAAATTTATCTGAAGAAGGAGTTTAGCTTGTGTGATGCCCCCTAGTGAAACATTGGTTAAGAGCAAAGTCATGGAGCAAAGTGGCAAATGACAGTAAGAGGGACAAGAATAAGACAGGAAGAGAAAAATTGTTAAAAAAAATGATAGAACAGAACTTCTTCCATGTAAATATATGTGAGGATGTTTCCTCCTGACTGCGGTAGAGTCTCATGAATTTAGGCTGGGGATAATACACAAGTCTGGGCAGACTAACTTCGGAATGGCTCCTAATTCAGAAACCATGGTGCATGGGGCATAAAAAATATCCTGTGCTTTGCAGGCCAAATTGTACGTCCATGGGCTTGGTTCCACCGAGTGGCCACCTTTGTTCAAAGTAGTCAGTGTAACTCAGCCCTGAGTTAGGGTCACTTCCCTCTGGCACCTGCCCTTTTTGTGCAGAGAGGATGTGGTTGTGCAGCGCTGTGGATATACTGCTGGCACAGAGGTACACAGATGTCTGGTTGGTGCTGGCAGA